TAACTTTTTTCTTGGATTAAATATTAGATAGGGACCCGAAGGCATCTTTATCAACCAGGAAGCATACACCAAAACTCTTCTTGCCAAATTTGGTATGATGGGAGATTCAAAGGTCAAGGTTCCAATGGCTTTTGGAACCAAACTCACCCCTTCACTGGAGAAACCAGCAGTTGACATTACGCTATACCGCCAGATGATTGGGTCTTTAATGTATCTTACTGCTAGCAGGCCTGACATCATGTTTTCCGTATGTTATTGTGCTAGGTTTCAGGCAAACCCACGAGAACCTCATATGCTTGAAGTGAAGAACATACTTAGGTATCTGAAGCGAACTACCTCTCTCGGTCTTTGATATCCATCCAACTCAGGCTTCTTCGTTCAAGCCTTCTCTGATGCAGACCTTGGAGGATGTGGTTTAGACAGGAAAAGTACCACAGGGGGTTGCCAATTCCTTGATGGGAAATTGGTCAGTTGGCAGTCAAAGAAGCAAACATGTGTTTCCCTTTTTACAGCCGAAGCAGAGTACATTGCAGCCGCCTCCTGCACATCTCAAGTAATATGGATCCAAAGCCAGCTCAGGGATTATGGACTTAAAATGAAAAAGATCCCACTATATTGCGACTCAGAAAGTGCAATTAGGATCTGTCACAACCCAGTGCAACACTCTAAGACCAAGCATATAGCACTAAGGTATCACTTCATTAAGGATCATGTGGAGGATGGTAATGTCGAAATTCACTTTGTTCGTACCACCGATCAACTGGCAGATATCTTCACCAAAGCCCTATCTGAAGCCAATTTCAATAAAATCCTTCATGGTCTAGGAATGATGGAATCTGAATCGGTACCAAAGACTTCATCCCAAAGTTAAAAAGTAAGGAGCGAAATGAACCGAAATGAACCGAACGTTCGGTCCATTTCGGGTTCGGTTCACATGGGAACCGAAATGAACTGATCATTCGGTCTATTTCGGGTTCGGTCCCGTAACACATATTTTCGCTTAATCTAAAAAAGATGTTGTCTACGGTTGTACACATTTGTAAAGCTGTTTTCTAAAAATCCAAAAATATTTTTTTTGGAACCGAAATGAACCGAACGTTCGGTCCATTTCGGGTTCGGTTCAAAATTGTTTTTATTATTTATTGTTTATTATTATTAATTATTCTGTATTGGTTTTTCCCATTTATAAAGCTGTTTTCCAAAAATCCAAAAATATTTTTTTTTGGAACCGAAATGAACCGAGCGTTCGGTCCATTTCGGGTTTAGTTTATTTTTTTATTTTATTCTGTTTGGTTTTTCTCTTTCTTTATTTTACCTAGTTAAGCGTCCCTAGAAGCATGCTACTGCATGTTGTCCAAAGCCTCAACTGATTTTGAATAAAAGCCTTAATGACTAGGTATATACAAACCTTGTCTTCCCAATAAGGCTGCTCCATTTATTCTAATCCTGAGCTACCTTACTCTCTTCTCATATGAGTTGAGAGTTTACTGCTTGGTCACTATTTTCAGCAGAGGTGTTATCGTTTTTCTTCACCACCCTACTTTTCTCCATCATATTTCGGTCCCATATCGTAACCCTTGAGACTCTCAGAATTAACCACTGAGGTTTATGGTTACAAAATATCTGTGTTTATGATCTAAGCCATGTGTCACTACGTGCTTAGTGAAACCCACAATTCACTACCTATCATGAATTGACGGTCAACATGAAATCTCTCTTTGTTTGTGCGATTCTTATGAATTTGTTATTTACCATAACATTTCTTCCCTTAGAATCCAGTTTAAATTTTTTTTTAGATTTCATCATCATATATTTTTCCAAGTCACTATATCTATTATCCAGCCTACTTGTTCAACAGACCACATCGGTCTCACAAGTACTTCATTTAGTCTCGGTCTTATGTCAAGGTCCGGGTTTCTAAATTGAAGAGAAAGCCACCCTTTTATGTCTAACCAAAAGATGTCTTTCAACACTTCTTAGAAAGTGCTTGATCGTAATTCAACAGGAATCCATACAAACACTTTAAGGTCTCTCTTGACCTTGAAGAAAGTGATTCGTGCCCGGGATCATCTGTTTTGTGTCTAGTTTGACATCACTTTTCCCCTATATATCTCGCTTTATTTCCTTATCTTTTACACTCTATGCACGAAAATCTTTGATTTTCCAAACTTCTCGTTCGGTTACTTTATAATCTTATGTTTGGATGACAACTATTAAACAGATAAGATGCTGACTCAGCCGACAGAGTAACGGCCTCAATAGTGAGGTGATGGGCACGCGTGCAAAACGGAACAGTTCTTCTCTCTCCTGCGTAATCATCGGGGGTGCCAACCGTCACGCTTCAGTCAAATCCGAAACCGTTTTATTGTATCAAGAAGATTTGGGGATGATCTTTCTCTCTCCTCTACCCACGGTATAAAAGGAACTCATCTGCTTCATTCCCAATTTAACACATTCAAAACTCAATCGAAAAAAATCGAACGATTTTTCATCTACTGTTCATCATCTTCTACCTTCAACCATGGCGGATTCTTCATCAGTACAGGAAACCTCCTCCCGCACAAATATTCTTCCAATCCGTGCCCAACAAAGTCTGGTGATTGATCTCAACCCTAAGGCTTATGAAAATTACATGTATCCCATGGTGGAGTGCCTCAAATACTCTCCGTTGGTGCTCACTCTTTCCAAAGTTGAGCTTGTACCAATGGAATGCCTCTCCCAGGCAAGGTTGTAGAACTCGTTACTCGGTACCTGCTCGGCCAACTACCGAGTAGCGAGTACTCGGGGAGTAATCGGATTTGGTAATTCATGTAGTAATATTTTTAGGGAAATTATATATGTCAAAATAATAAGTTAAAATCATAAGTTGATTGAAATATATAACAAAATTAGATACATGTGAATACACAAAAAATAAAAAAACAAATAATGGTCTCACTTCGTGAATAATTACTAAAATTTAAGATATATATGTAGTAATAATCACATGTGTGTATGTTCAATAATAATAAATCATTAAGTATATTATACATATTAATCACCGAGTTGACCGAGTTTTACAACATTGCTCAGTTCAGTAAGGGGCGGATCGGGGAGTACTCGGGATTCTGTAACTCGCCTCGGCAAGGGGCCGAGTAGCGAGTACTCGGAGGAGTAATCGGCCAACTCGGCGAGTTTTACAACACTGCTCCCAGGTCTTCTCCACAGCCCATTATGGCAGATCAGTAGATCGCATCTACTTTGATCTTCTTTCTCACAAGACCTCCATCTCTAAGCAACGATTCTGTTGGCTCCTAGGCTTTGAAGCCGATGAATCTAGGGTTAATCCCGACACCATTACCGTCGGGCAATTATTTTCGATTTTCTACAATATGGGGTACACGGAGATTCTCACAACGTTCACAAAATTCAAGAAATCGTGTCTCCCTCCTCCATGGAATGGTTTCTTCACCATTCTCTTCAAAGGGCTCTCCGAGCGTAGTTCTGGTTTTGATGGGGCCAACAAACTGTTTATGACCATTCTCTATGCACTACTAGAAAAAAGGCCTTTTACGACGCTCATTGCGCGTCGTAAAACGCTCAGACGACGCGCAAATGCGTGTCAAGGAAGGCCCTGTCATAAAGAGAGACGACGCGCATTTACGACGCGCGGTTATGACACGCAATGCGTATCAAGAAAGGCCCTGTCATAAAGGAAGACGACACGCATTTGCGTGTCGTAAACTTACGACGCGTGTGTTTATGACACGCAATGCGTATCAAGGAAGCCCCTGTCAAGAAAGGCCATGTCATAAATGAAGATGACACACATTTTTGCGTATCATGGATGCCCTTGTCCTAAAGGAAGACGACACGCATTTTGCATGTCATAATTCTAAATATTTTTAAAATTATATATTTTTTGATAGATTTACTAATTTTCAAATTAAATAACATATTAAAAGTCTAATAATACAAAATAAAATACCATAAACACTAAGAATAATCCATTGCACTAATATGTCAAATACAAATAATCATTCCAATATTAAGTAAATGTAACACATTGCTAATATTTCATAATATTTATTATTCAAGAAATATGAAAAAATTGAAATCCCTGAGATTAAAAGTACTAATAGAAGCTTCACGTGAGATACATACAGTTGGACTAGTAAGCAAGGATGTTCCCGAATCCATACAGTTGAATACAAGATGTTACAAACTGTGAAAGAGAAACCCTCTGTCCACTTCCACCATGAAAAGTGGAAAACCAATCATTATATAGCATAGACACCTGGTTTTACAAGAATGAAGTTAATAATGATTAGATTGATAAATTAAGGAGTTAAAAATGAAGAAATATGATGTAATAAGATGAGAAAAATTATTAGGTAACAGTTTAAGAAGATATAAATGCACCATCATCATCCTTGTTGTGTTGGACATAGAATAGGATGCATACAAACCAGCTTGATGAACAACAAATCAAAATAAATAAATTAACTCATTTCTCATTTTCTAATATATCTTAATGTTAAATATAGCATTTACCTAGCACACCTTGATGAAGATCATAAACATCCTTTCTGATAAAGTAATATATGAATAATTATATATTTGTTCTAAGAAATGAACACAATACTTTCTAATTTCAACTTAACATTGATATGGCATAGAAACTTACATTCTCTTGTACCAAATAATTTCTTATTTACTCGTAGTAGCAGTAACTATATCTTCATTTTATATTTTTATTTTTTTTAATCCTCACAAGTATTTATAATCATTATCTCTGACTATAACACTAACCAGTAAGAAGAAGGCTTTTCCCTGATACTATCTCGCAAGTCAACTTTCTGGATAATAAATTCTGTGTTGGCGTGATAATATCAACCTCCGAAAAAGAGATAACATCCTCAGATTCCTCATTGGACTTTGATGAAGTACCGGCATTTTCATCTGCAATTTCCATCATATTATTAGTAAATAAGGAACAGCCTAGAAGATTAGATAAAACACTATCCAGATGGTGTAGCATCAAGAAGTTCCTCAAGTTCAAAAATCCAATGAACACCACTAGACAGTTCGATGAACTTTCTATGCAGCTCCAAGATGTCACCAAAGGCCAAGAAGCTTTGAGATACAACTGATGCCAAAAACCGCAATGCTTGTGCAAGCTCACCTGCTAACAAAAAAATCCACTCACATCCAAAGCAAAAAAATAAAAGCCTAAATTTCATTAGGTTCAGGTAATCGATTCACAACTACTAAACTATTTCCAATTGTGGTAAACAAATGTCATGATGAATCGGAATTAAGAATGGGAATTGACCTTGAGTGGAAGTCAATGAACGATCAACTTTGTGCTCCATATCATATAACAAGCTCAATCCCCAAGTAACATTGTGGGGTAGTTGTTTGGTGACAAAGTCATCCAGTACTCCAAATAGCCATTTCTTCCTCAGAAGTATTTTAGCATGAGCAAGAAGCTCATTAAATCTTGACTCAATCATCTGTCAGACAAACCATATTCAAGTAGTATTATTATTATTAATATTATATTCCAAAATTCTCCTTTGTGGAAGGAAATATAAAAAAGAAAGAGGAGAGGCGTTACCGCTTTTTCTCGAGCACCACCTCCAAAGGAAGCAACCGATTCAGCATGTGTACGCAGCCTCTCGTGCATGGAGTCAAATACCACCTGGATTAGCATTTCCAGCAATCTACAGGGCATTTGAGTTGGCATGGTCTAAATTTGTTGGTGTCACAACAAGAATTAAACAGTTGGGAGCCTTAATGCATGACATTATCATTGTTCTGATGCGAGAGTTATGTCAAGAACATTAGGAGAGAAAAACTTTAAACGAATTTGCTTGTCAGAAACACCCTTGTTTCCCCGTGCTTCCCTGTCAGCCTCAGCCTATAGTATCCAAATTGTAAATTAAGAATTCAGTGATCTAATCTCACTTGACAAGAATATAAAGTGCTTGAACTTTCTATTTAGAGGCTCATGATCATACATAATTCAAGGACACAATTACTCTGTTAACATGTAAACAACAAAATTCTATCAGATGAAAGTTTCTGTAGGTAGTAAAATTGGTCTAGGGAACTAATTTTATGAATATGAACAATAATTTTACTTCGTATTAATCTTTCACAGGTAGTAGAGTTGAACAAGCTATGATATAATATCACTGAAGCAACAATCCCTTGTTCACCAAACTTGGCTACACTTCCATGACTTAAATGTTGAGACAACTGATTTATACATATCCAAGATCAAGTCATTGGCCTTATCTCCAATAGCATTAATAGCAACCCGATGAAAAAAATTGCTCAACTAGTAAGTCATTTTACATATTTACAACCACATTTTTAACGATAAATGAAAAAAAAATACCTGGAGGCCATATTTGTCGGATTGAACAGTCATATTAGATAAAATTTCCATATTTGTAACTTGGAGGCCATATTTATACCTCCATTTGCATTCCTGCTAATAATTCCACAACTGGATCATGCATGTTACTTGTAATTCCAACTAATTTTAAAGCTAAAGAGTTAGCCAATCCCATGTGGCCATCTATTCTTGAAAGCCATACCTGTCAAGATTGAAAAGTCTAATTGTGATTAAGTGGGGTTTAATTACAGTTTATATAATTTGTATTTAGTTTTTTCTTACAGGATGATGAGGTGTAATATAAGCATATCATAGTTGGAAGTACATTAAAATTTAAGTCTTGATGAGAAAAAAATAGAATTTTCAAAATACAATTAATGGCTTGTAAGATAAATATATTTAAAGTATAATGTTATAATGATGAAAGAAATGCACAAATAAATTAAAGTATGTTGCTATGATTTGCATTTAGCCCTAAACTGAAAAGAACAAAACACAAATGTTATATGTATATCATATGAAGAAGGTGAGGAATTTTAGAACCTGGAGTCCTCCAAAAAGCAAATGGACATGAGAATCAATAAATCCATGGATCAACAACTTGGTCTAAAAGGCAAGTGAAGATGGTATTCACGTTGGTTGCAAGATTACCAGGCTGTACACAATCCATCCCATGTCCTTTCTTCAACAACACTTCAGATCAGGGGCAATATAGTCCGATGTCCCCACTGTTGAAAACGCCTTCTCTCACATAAACAAGCAATCTGTGGTCATCTTCACATCAATATCCAATCAATTTCACCAAATTGGGATGTCTGAGCTGACCAAGGAAATTAACTTCAGTCTACAACAAAAAACGCCATTACATATATAGATTAGAATGGTATAAGGAAGATAAAACAAAACAAAGAACTAGTTGTTAGAAGGACAGAGAACTAGAGGAGCTTACAAGCCTTTCTCTGTGGCCTTGAAGACCCTCCCAAACATTTTAAAAAACTAAAAACAAACTCACCTCGGAAGATTTATCTTGAGATTCAACGTAGCTTCTTGAAACCTACATGAATCACGAAATAAATTTATATAAAAATAAAAAGAAAATAAAATATTTATCACGAATAAATAAATAAAAAGGAACCTCGGGCCCACTGAAATTCCCCTTATCTAATATGGCTGGTGACTTTGGTGAAAAGAGTGGTTCTTCTTTAGCTTGTGCAATGGCTGAAGTTGATGGATTTGGAGGAAGATAAACCACTTTTAATTTGCACTCTTCCAATTTACGCCCTGGTTCTTTAGTAAACTGTTTTATAAAAATCATTATACAGTAAAAATTCTTGATTTTATAAAAAATTATTTTTTGGATCAAAATCAAGCATATTTAGTTCCTTCTTCCCCTTTATCTTAGATCTCAAATGTTAACCATTTACACAAAGAATTAGAAAAAGGTGAAAGGGTAAATTGGGTATATCATATAATATGTTCTTACTTACCATTTCAGGGGTTATGTCCTTAGGAGTTGCTCCAGGGCTTGCAATTACACTCTGAAGGAGAAATTTATCTTTACATTGCATGTCAGGAGGAGCATCTTTCTGAGCTTGCATTGTTACTGTAGCAAAACAGATAAAATAATGAAAGTATAAAAGCTTAGCTTCTTTTGATTGTAAGGAATTTGAAGTTTGAGTCTCATTCTGTAGCTTAGAATCTAACAATATCGGTTCAAAATAATGAGTAAGAGGCCTAAATGAATGATCAATCACATAAATTGGGTTTAACAGGTAATTTGTAGAATAAATTGATTTCAATTCTGAGCTTGGGTATGGCAAATTGAATTATAGAAGCTAATGGAGGCAGAGATTTGAGACCAACCCAAACATTCTTATCAATATAGCCCTTGTAAACAGCCTTTGTTACAGAATTACCTGTCATGAGGGCAATATCTTGAAGTAAAGCTTTCTTTCGTTCCCCAACACCAGGACATTTCACAATAGCAACCCTAAGTAAACCTTGATTTCTGTTAACAATTAGGGTTTCAAGAACTAAGATTAAGATATCTTCAGCAAAAATGAGCAAAGGGACACTTAATTGAGTACACTTTTCTAGCAATGGGACAATTTCTTTCACAGATGATATCTTTTGATCTGTTATCAGGACTTTAGCATTTTCAAATTCCACAGAAAAATTGTTCTGATTTGTGACAAAATGAGGTGACATGTATCCTTTGTCGATCTGTAGGGAAAGTATTCCTGGATAGACATTAAAATATGAAAATGAAAAAGATAAAAAGAATGTATGAATAAAATATCACAAGATGTATTTCACTTGATACCTTCATTCCTTCTTCAACAATCACAGAAGTTTCACTTGATGAAGAAGATTCAATAGAAATTATTCCATCATGACCGATTTTATCAATGGCTTCATCAATTAAGTTTCCAATAAATTCATCATTTACAGCAGAGATGGAATCTATGGCTGTGAACAGGAAGAAAAGAATCTTTAGAGTTTAGAGAATCTGATGAAAGAAAACACTAAAAAGAAAAGAAATTTACCTTTTATATCATCTCTTTTGCTGACTGGAATCATTTTCTTTTTCAAAACTTTGATCAATTCTTTGAGACAAACAATTTTGACCAATAAGAACATTGACCACAAATCACATATATCTTAACAGTAAACAGGGGAAGAAAAGAAGCATACTAGCAAAGAATAAGACCAGGACCGAGTCGAGAAGTACTAACCCTCGTAGATGTCGAGGAGTGTTAGAGGGATTACGGAGAATCAGATAAGGTCGGCGGAGAAGGAACCTTAACATATGAAGAGGGTGTCAGTGGGATTACGAAGAAGCAGCTCCATCGAGCTTACCCTAGCACCGACTTTGAATGGAGAATGCAAAATCTTGCTTGGAAGGTGACGTATTACTGACGTACCATAGCAGAATGAAGACGGAGTACTTCCACGATGAAGAAGTTGGCGTTTCAGTTCATGCATCGTTATCTTTGAGTTGTGAGAGAGATTACACTAAGAAATTGAAAGAGGATGCGATGGAATGATGAGTGGGAATAAACCCTAAAAATGGATCGACAAATTTGCCCCTGAAATTTGGTTTACCGCGCTGCTCTCATTATCTCCGGATGAGCTGCTAGTGAGAACCCCGGCACCAGAGGACTCTCCAACATCTTCTCTACCACTGCTCGTCTCGACGTTGACGATGGCGGAGGGTCGGCGATGGTGGAGGGTCGACGACCATGAAAGAGCACATAACGGTGGCCGGAGTGCGAGGGGAGTAGTTGGCGGTCGTGTGGGGAGGGGAAAGATGAATCGTCGATTGTGGGGATAAAGAACGATGCGTCAAAAAATGCTTAGGGCAAAGAGGGAAAGAGGGAAGGGAAAGCGGGATTTTCTAATTTTTGGGTTTTCTTTTCCCGCTTGCAACTAAACAACCCGTGTTTCATTAAAAAATATAAAACGACATGTCTAGATGACGCACGTTTTATAATAAGCGCCCTCTGTGTTTTTTTTCTGACACTAATTTTAGGGTACGCAAAAATGCGCGTCTGAAATCCTTAAAATTTTTAAAGAGATGACATTATTTTTAGGTTACCCACTTTTGCGTGTTATAAATCAATGCGTATCATAAAATGCGCGTCGTAAAAGGCTGTTTTTCTAGTAGTGATGGTCTTTATCACGGCCTTAACCTCGACTATGGCTCGGTTCTATGGCAGCAACTCATTCAGAGCCTTGCCTCCTCCTCTCGCCACACTGAGGTATCCTACGCCAGGTTCTGGTCGCTCATCACCAAGTGGGCCATGGATAAATTTCATGTTCCTACTGTTGCAGGTTCCCTTCTCTCCAACATCAGCGTCTTCCACACCACCAAAATTATTGTCACCGATCCGACAAAATTTTCTTTCATCGGATCCATTCCGGACTCTATGTCCGTTGGGGTGTCAAAGGAGAGCATCATCATGAAAGCCTACAAGGACTTTCGTCCTTCGGGCCCAAGGGAACTTTCTGCTGAAATGGTTCAGTCCATTAATGATGCAGATAAACCTGCTGCTCGAGGAAAGAAACCCGAGCAAGGGAAGATAAAGAAAGCAACAAAGGGGGCAAAGGGTCCTTCTCCTAAGAAGCGAAAACCCTCAAAACCAGATCTTTCCCCACCAACAAAGAAGAAGAGAGTCCAACCCAAGAGAAAACTTATTCTCTCCTCTTCCTCTAGCGACTCGGAAGAGAACCACTCTAACTCCGATGAGTCAGCTAGAGGCGAAACCCCGCCTCACTCCCCTGATCATGAGGTAAATATTTCATCAAAACCTCCTTCACCTTCTCCTATACCCACCTCTTCCATTCCCATCATAACCTCCTCCATTTCCATTCCCTCCATATCTGACCCTATTTCCATTCCCCCCCCCCCCCATAACTACTCCTCTTCAAACTACATCAACCACCCATCCCCCACCACTTTTTACAGAAGCCACCACCATTACCACCCGTGAGGTTCTAACCAACGTATCTGATACGGGGGGTTTCTACTTCACAACCCGATCCTACATCTGCACCCGAACCCACTATCACTACCGAACCACCCACTGCACCCTTATCTCCCACTCTATCTGCTGAAACCGAAACCTTTTTGGGAGGGGAGGATACCGTTTTTTACTCCATCTACTACAGCCCCTATCAACTTTAGAGTGATGATGATGATGATGCTCTGGTCACCAAAAAGCACATCAAGGAGCTCCACGAGAAGATTGACAATCTTGTGGCTTCTTCCTCCTCCTCAACATCTCACTTTTCAGAGGCTGCTATTCAAAGTATGGTGGAGTCACTTACAAAATCACATGAAGCCTCTATCAGCACAGCTGCTGCTGCCATTGATAAATCCACGCAGGCTAGTGCTGTTGCGACCGAAAAAGTCGAAAAACTATTTCAAGACGCCCAGATCTGGCTGGAGTCTTTACAGGCAACTTCAGAGTTAAACACTAAGAAGATCCGCACCATTGTGGAGAAGCTGGTCCATTCCTTTGAGACGGAAAAAGATCAATTTGTCAGCTTCCGCCAAAAACTCAAAGAAGATAACCAATCATTTCAGTCTTCGGTTGCGGATCGTCTTCTCTCATTCCAAGCCACTCTTGCCGCCGAATCTACCACAAAGGAAGAGCTTGCCCGAAAGTCTTCCGAGCTTACCTTGGCAACTCATCAGCTCTCCCAGGCCGAGAAGGAGATCGATTCTCTTCGGTCCGAGAAAGCTGTGGTTAGGAGTTGTGTTTCAGATGTCCACGGAGCTTTGTCTAATATCATTGAAGCCCATGATCCGATTCTCAACTATTCGGTGAGGCGAAGTCTTGCAGAGAAGCTCGCTCCTGCTCTTGCCCTTCTTAGCCGTATTGAAGGCATTCCTGAGCAGGAGGACCATCCGAAACAAAGGGGAGAAAAGAAGAAGTCCACAGCTCAACAGAAACCCCCTCCAAGTTCCCTACCTCAATCAATTCCACTTTCATCACTTGTCCCTCCAAAAGCAACCAAACCAACATCTGGTCCTTCATCAGGTTTGAGTGCTCAAGCCAAAGCCAAGCAAATTGTCGACGACAGTGATGAAAGTGATGATCAAAAGCCGATTGTCAGCTTGGTCAGGAAGCAGACCAGAGAGAGAGAACTTGATGAAAATGCTTGTATAGTCAGGGAAGCTGAGGCCAAGGAGAGGAAGATGAAGGAGGCTCATGATCTCCTTGAAAGCAAGAAAACTCTGTTTCCTCCTTGGACCCTCGAGGTGCTCATCAAAGAAGCCATTGAGTCCCCTTGCACTCTATGGCTAGAACCGGTCATCTCACTAGACCGTGTCAACTCAGTCGATTCCCAGTTTGACATGCCCCTGGCCCGAAAGGCCTTCATCTTCCATGCGTTCGCTCATATAGCTGAAGTTCCCCATCCTCACCCGAAGGTGGATAGGGAGCTTATAGACTATTACCTGAGGACTGCTCAACCTCAGTACCAAACTTGGAGCGCACAGAAGATAACCAACGTTCGGGTACTCAAGCCTATTCGTGAAGGTAACTTTGTTAATGTCAGATTCAAGGTCTTGAGGGGATCTGAAAAATCTGAGCACTCTATCTCTCTGGCTGATCTTCCCAACCTTAACCCTCACGATTGGATCGTTCTGCACAACATTCTTCTTGTCAATGAAGCTGAATATGGTCCGGTCATAAACCATTTCAAGAGAATGTTAGTTTGCTATATTTTGGAGGTGGCTAAGCTTGATCAAGAGATTGCTAATATCATGAGGAAGAAGCCCATCGTCACTCCAGTCGGTTCTGCTAGCGATATAAACCGAATGAAGATGGGAAAGATTGACCCGAAACAGAACTCAGTCATGATCACTAGAGCAGAAGGCCAGAAATTCCTGTTTGCTTTGGCTGACAAACATCTCTACACCACTACTTGTCTAGAGCATGTTCTGGGTATAATCAATCGTTGCAAGCAGAACACGGATAGTGATAAAAAGTACTTCAATGATATGATAAACTGGTACATTCACTTCCATCAAACACTTCTTGCTATCATCCCCTGCCTGTTCAAGACAGTCAAGAAAGCCAGTGCTGCGGGGGCAAGCAAGTTGGAGTGAAGTCTCGCCTCAATTGACGCAAAGGGGGAGATTGTTGGGTTATTGGTATTGCGTCTTGGGCTCGCTTCCTAGCCCATCCTTTATGCGGTATGGGCCTGTCCATATGTATCTTATTTTCTAGGGTTTGTGTATTTATAGATGCTTGCATGCATCTTTTACGTAACCGATAGATCAGGGTTTTACGGTGTAATTATACAAGTTATCTTTTTGTAACCCTAGGATCCTCTACAGTGGAAGTTCTTCATCGAGCTCTGCTGAGGATTGAAATTTTTAATCATTCAACATATTCAAATCCATTCTTGGGTATTGCTTTACATTCTTTATATACCTGTTTCAAAGATCTATTCGATCTTAAAGATATTTTTATCTCTTCAATCTCGACACAAACTCCCCCAAGACATGGCCGCCACCGCCTTAGTCCCCACAACATGACCGACCTCTTCCCACAGTCAGAAGCTCGATTTCTTAGAAGATACGAAACAAATCCCACCTTTATTCCTCATTACAGAAGCTCATTTACTACGTATTCTCCATGTCATCGATCTATCGGTGCCTGGCAATAGGGTCCTTGGCCCCAAATAAATCCGGTTCTCCATAGGCCTTAAACTCCCAAAATGAGGGAGTTCGAGCACCTAACTGCCCTGAAGCGATCTCTACCTGAAGGGCCCCAAGTCACTCATCCATAAACTCCATAATCCTCTCCTTGATGGTACCAAAAATCACAGGGGTGGCATCCATGATACTGTGAGTGATCTCAGAAGTGATAAACTTGCACAACCGCTCATCAATGGGTTCGGTACCAGTGCCTGAACCAGATCCAAAAGCTCCTCCTCGAGTAGACACCATGATCAACACTAAATAGAATAAAAACATACAAATGATCAGAAAAAATATTAAGAGAACTTCCTCTCTACAAGACCTTTAGAAGTTCCAAGATCGTTCTTGTCTCCAATACAGATCA